CGTGAAATGCTTATTTCACCAACTACTCACTAAACATATAATCTTTCAATTTGATATATAAATTAATAATTTGTCATATTAAGTTATATTAGAATAACAAGTTACAATGATCAATGTTTTCCTAGCTTTCTTCCTTTCATTCTCCGTATCTAACTTTTTAAGTGTTAGAATTATGTTCAATGCATATGACTCTTCAACCAACAATTCATTCTCTACTAATTCATTGAACTAGTAAAGAAGGAAGTGTTGATTGAAGAACTACAAACATTAAACCAAATTCTAACTCTCAAAGAGGGAGATATATAGAATGAAAAGAAGAAAGCTCAGAAAATATTAATTAATGTAATTTATTTTCTAACATAACTTAGATCAATATGGACCTTAGATCTCAATATTGTCTTAGCCGAAGATGTACTTCTAGAGTAACCTTGGTTCGTTTAATAAATCATGTAAAAAAAGGTTTCTACAAAAATGCAGTTCCGAATTAACCCATCTTAGTATTTTTTTAAATAAAATAGGGTGAGCTTGGAAGTAGGGGTGTTCGCGGGCTGGTTTGGTTCGGTTATGATAGAATTCGATATCCAAACCGATAAAAAATATATGGATTGGTTTGAATTAAATTTTTTCGATAAAACCCAAACTGAATCAACCCGAGAAATAACGGGTTGGTTTGAGTTGGATTAATCAGATACATTAGAAACAAATGTTCAAAAATATTTTTTAAAATATCTAATTTACATCAACTAATTTTCATAATAATATAAGATTCTTAATTTTTTCTCCATATAAGTTGTGATTCTCACAAAAGGTGTTTCATTTTTTCTTCTACAAGTTGAATATATTATACTAGTTTCCATAATAATGATGATATAAATTAATATGGTAGGTTTTGGTAGATGCGTTTGCGGGTAGAATTATTTTAATTTGTTACCCGAACTAATTAACATCGGGTTTCATTGGTTTGTTCAGTTTTTGACAGAACTAAAAAAATGGTTGACCCAAATGTGAGTGCAATATCCTCTATTAGATGTTTTGAGTGATGTCAAAACTAAGAAATGTGTAGTATTTGTATATTGAAAGATATCTCTCTATGTCTAAGATGCATTCTCATACTATGACACTTAGGGATCGAGTCAAAAACTTTTGGACATGTTAAGAACTCCAAAAATACGTATTTTTATGAAAAATCATGTTTGGAGTCGACTCACTCATATTAGAAGTCGACTCCTTTTGAAAGAAATGTGAAAAGGAAGTCTTAAGTTCAAAGGAGTTGACTTCCTGAATCTGGGAGCCGACTCATACTGAAAGTAATTTCAAAAATCTTTTATCTGGCTCGAAGGAGTCGACTCCCTTGCACTTGGTGTAAACTCATTACACTAAGAAGTTGGATCCCACATGTATAGGTCAACTCCTACTAAAATTTATTTTTTACATTTTGTTTCTGTCCAAAAGGAGTCGACCCCCAGGCTGTATGGGTTGACTCCCTATTAGTATGGATCGACTCCCTCTGATTCATGTGTCAAATTTTATAATTTTGCAGCCCATTTTTGTTTGTTTTCTCATATACACCCACACATATATATATACTCATCCATGCATCATTTCACAATACGAAACCACAAATATACAAACCAGTTGGACATCATCTTCATCCTCTTTATATGCATACACATAAATAAATTACAAATAATCATTCTTTGTTTGGGTACCATCTAGAGATAGCGTGATAACTTTCAATTAGGATTCATTGTAATCGATTAGGTTGATAATTCTTTGGGGGTTTCAAATAAGATAACCAATATGTGATTTTTCTTCAAGATCAATTGGTGATTTGAAGGTTTTGGACAAGATTACGCAATTTGGATTCAACCGAGTGAAAGCTTCGAAGAACGGTGAGTTCGGGCGAAGAAGTAGCATAAGACAAATGTTCAAATTGGTAAATCTTAGGTCACGATACGTTCGCGGTTTGGATTCAGTCGAATGAAGTCATTGAAGAACGGGAGTTCTTGCAAATGAGTTCTTTTTATTCTCATCTTGCATTGAAGAATTTGATTGTCTTCTATAATTGATGATTATCATCCAAAAAGATCAATAATTGTTTCATTTTAGTCCTTAGACCTCTTACCTCATTGTTGTTTCGGGAACAAACATTGCATACTTGCTTGATATTTGAGACATTTTGAGGTTTTTTCTATTTCAAAGTTGCAAGTATGTTTTTGGACTGCAACAAGTTTAATGCCATGTTAAAAACAAGATCACTCTCTCCAGGATTAAGTCGACATCCAATGGAATGACCAATTAACTTTTGACACAAGTCATGATTATGTATCCATAAACCACATTAAAAATCCATGTATTATTCGTCAAAAGGTACCCAGGAAACTTAAAAAGGACACTCGTGTTTTCTCATTTATGTGTCATCGTGTTTTAACTTTCAGATAGGTTTTGTGTACCCGCCACCTCTTTTGCATCTCATTGTCACAAATGCATGTCTTCTATCAGAGTCATTATCTGACTTCCCGATTACAACATCGAACCCCAATTTGCTAGGCTCCATGCAGATCCATTGGAACATATGTTCGTGAACAATAAACTCCTATTTATTTGTAAATGGTTTACCAATATCTACCTCGACATCAACTGGTATAACATCCATAGACACAATTGTTTTGCAGACAACGTCAATGTGCACCATATCTAAGGTCAATTATAATAGGAAAAAAAACTCAAATTCAACATTATAATAATTCAGAAATACACCATGCAACCAAATTCAACAATAATTTAAAATTACACTTTTGGATGCAACATTTGTTTTTCCACATCAAAAATCAGATTCAAGCAAACAATAAGGAAGGAAATACATATACATTACCTTAAATTTCAACTTCTTTTATTCCTTTCGATGTGAAAAAAAAAAACAGAAAAGTATTGTTTTGAAGTAAATAACTTATTGAGTATGGAAGGAGGTTTTGGTAGAGTTTAAAGAAGAATTATGATCACAAACGAAGATGCATGCAAGATGGATTTTTAAGATGCATGCAAGATGAAGTTTTACTCAATTTCTCGCATGACAAATCTAGAACTGCACTTATGAATTATTCATTGAATTGTGAGATAAGCATTATGAATGTAGAGGTTAATCCAAACATACACTTCCAAACTATATTTTGAGAAAATGAGGAGTATCTCCCTTATATCTTATTTTTGTGTATATTAGGTGTACTTCCAAAATAATGAAAATCCAATTTCGAAAATTATTAGGGTGTCTCTTTACCACTAAAAATAGTAGGAAGTAGAACAACCCCCTTCAAATATCTTTGCCTTATTATAATAGAGTTTCACTAAATTCATTTTTACAAAATTACTATAAAGTAAATAGGTGAAATATGTCATTCTCTATAAACTCTTTCAATCTTAGTATTCAAACTTCTCAATATATTTCAATGCTTTCTCCTAAAATTTCTTTTATCACCCCTCCTCTAAAAAAAAAAGCCTTTGAAACCAAAAATATTTTCAAGAAACACTTTTTAAAATCATTAGGTAGCGAATCTGGATCCTCTTTAATGGCAGTTGTCCATCCATACCCAGTTTAAAAAGTTTCACTTTCACTCACCAACTCACGGACTCACCTCCCCTCACTCCACTTAATTTTTTGGGATAAGCACCCACTCTTCATTCTTCTATCACTACTTTAACTCTTGGATAGTTGGATCTTACATATTCAATGGAATTTAAAATGCACCTAAATCTCAACCATTTTTTATTCATTCTTTAACTTCCCGAATTACCGTGACACCCTGTCAAAAACTAGTACTACTAATTACTGTCACAAAACAAACACAGCACACAGCTACTACAACATAAATTTGGTAACAACATTCCAATAAACTCCAAACGTTATTGTCGGGTCCAGACAACACACAAACCACAACACAGCTACTACAACACACTACAACCTCTCTCTCTCTCTCTCTCTCTCTCTCTCTTCTTCTTCTCTCTCTCTTTTGTTACCGTTAAGTTAATCATGGCAGACTACGAAACCCATCACCAGCAGCACCACCAGCAACAACCACAACAACAAGTAGTTTCAAGAGAAACAGCTTTCCAAGCACTGAACACGATCATCCAACTCCATTTCGAGAAAACCCTCGAGAAGAAACGTTCCATTGACCTTCAAAAAAAGGAACTCCACAGGCTCTTCCAAATCTTCTTCATTTTCCTCACTCTACTCTTCATGGCACAGTCAAACTCGTCTCGTCTTCAATGCCGCCACTGTTGGATCCCCATCACGCTTCTCTCCATGGCCCACCTCATCTTCTATGTCTCCGTAGCGCAGTCTCTTAGATGCATTAATGGGTTCAAGTACCAGAGAAGGTGTCACAAGCTTACACTTGGTTTGGCTACTGAGAAGCTTAGGGATATGAAAATGAGGTTGAGTAGTGGGGCTGATTATGAAGCTATTGGTGATGAAGAGTTTGAGATTCATTATCAGGAACCTCCTGAGAGTTATTTTGGCAAGTTTAAGAGGAATTGGGCTCTTCATTTTGGGTTCTTGATCTTGATCTATGGTTTTATGATCTCTTCTTCTGTTGTTCTTCTTTGTTTTTGAGGTTCTCATTTTGGGTTGTTTTACTTCAAGTTAAAAATGCTTTCTAATGTAATACTATCATATTTTGATAGAGAGAAAGAACTTTAATTAATTGTAGCATTACCTTGTTTTTGTTTGTCATTCAAGGGTCAATTCTGAAATGAGAATCACTTTTGTGCAATCTTTTTAACAACCATTTTTCAAATAAATATATTGGTCATCAACTATAAACTATCCGTCATCGGCTATAAACCATAGCTTATTGGCTACCAGCAAATTTTACTAAAAAAGAGCCTAAATAATACAATACTTCGGATTATTATACTATTAATTTGATCCTACATAGAGCTACACCAGTGACCACCAGCTTTGATGGAGATTAAGGAAGCTTTGAGAAGCTTTGTGTCTTCTAAGCAGGGGAGAGAGCATTGCATAATGTTTTGTAAGCATTTACGCATAGTTTGAATTTTTCTTCAGCCAATGCCTGCATTCGCAGAAAGGTTAGGTGCCTGAGATTTTTTTAAGAGGTAGATGGTGTTAAACAAGTATTTCAAACTAACTTGTGAAGGGCCCTGATGTTTATCAGGATGCCATTTTAAAGCTGATAATCGGAAACTGCAAAGGCAATGAAGAGATATCAGCAATTTGTAATGTGTGTATCAGAAGACATTCGATTAAACAGGAAGCCAAAAGCACTTACGCAATTTTAACGTCTTCTATCTTTAATGGACCTGTTGGAGGCAAACCAAGAATAGTTCTATCAGAACTTGATCCTACAAAGCATGAACCATCCTCTTTATCATTACCATCGTCATACTCATCATCGCTTGCACTTTTCCACTTGTTTGTGTTTGTCCTATTTGTATGTTCCCTCCATTCAAAGCCGTGTGTGGAATGTTCAGAAGAAGAATCCCTCATATTTCTGTAGGACCAGGTATAACATCGGTTACCGAATGTTGCTTGAAATATCTGTTCAGGATGGCCATCAACGTCGTCACAAAAACTTTCTCTTCTGATTTTTTCTGAACACACAATGGAGATCAATAGTTAGGGAAATGAACATTCAGCGTGTGTTTGGCGGTAATGTTTCAAAACAACGTTAGAAATTTCTAATGCTACAACGTTAGAAATTTTAATTATTACAGAGAAGTGATTGACAGTGAGAAAGGAAAAGGAGAAAAGGATCTGCAAATTGAAACGAACTCACGTTTAGTTTTCTTTTGCGGTTTTCCACCAAATCGTTGACCGGACTTTGGTTGACCTTTATTGGGATGGCTATTTGAACGATCATTGGAGTTTCCATCAGGTTTCCATTTTGTTTCTTTGTCCTATGAGAATGTACACCATAAACACTACCTTTGCATTTTTTTACAGTAATTCCAATATATAAAATAGACCACAGTATGAGGATTGAGGTGAAAGAAGAAACATTATCCAAATGTCTGAAAACAGACAAGTTGCATTTTTTTAGACAAACGAATTCATTGGCCTCTCTGTCTCAACAATAGATAGTGTGAGGACATTGATCTGCGGCCACTGAAGGAGATATTTCCTAATATTATACAAATTGGTTGAAGGGCTATACTCAGCATGCGTTTTTCTGGTTTTAAATTGCAATGATCAGTCAAAATCATTAGTATTATTCGATCCTCGTAGCACACATTCGTGTGCGCGCACCCTGTGGTGCACAGAGACAGTGCGTATTTGTTCTTAATTGTGTTCACCATTCCCCTCATTATCTATGACTACAGCCAATGCTAACTATCTCATGATGAAAATCCCATCTTAATAGCACAAACATTACTACTGTTATTTTCATCTTAATGCTAACAAGTTCTTGCAATTGCAGTCCATCTTAATTTGTAAAAAGAATACCTCAAATGAAAATCTTGAGGATCCACTATTATAAAGGAGACTTTTTAGAGCTTTCTTCGCATCAGCGCGCTTTTGACGAGTTACAAATTTGATTTGATTCTGAAATTGACATTTCCAGCAACAGTGAAGAACTATATCAAATATTTATATACTACATCAACCAACAGAAAATAAATCTAAATATTCATGATTTTTTTTACCTTAGATGGTTGCTGTCCTCTTATATCCTACAAGAATCCAGAAGAAAAAAAACATTGCATTAATTTCTAAACAATTTCCAATAGACAAATGTAACAAATTCACACCACACAAAACAAAAAACTCACGGGATTGCTATTCCATTTGTGACAGGAACATGGAGTAGAATGAAAAGCTGAGAAATGCTGAACGGATGGAATAATGTGATTCTTCATGGACAAAAAATTTCGCCATCGCGGTATTTGCATATTGATAGAGATCAAATGCGTTTGAAATTTCGTATGAGGATGGGAAGGAATCTGAAGCGTTATACGATGATGTGGTTTAAGGAGAAGAGTTTTGTCGTGGACTAAGGTTTGATTTTGAGGTAGTAAGAGAACAACGCCGAGGTTGTCTCTGTAACCTCTCTCGTGAGTGGGCCTCACGTTCATAAATGGACAACTATGGGCCTCAATGTTATTTACAAGGTTAGTGCTATCTACACCGTGCTTTTATTTTTTTATTACCTACACCCTTTGTTCAAACAAAGTTAATGCATGTTGATTTTATTTTTGATTTTATTTTAAATTTAGTCGTCACGCTGAGATACTATTCGTAATGGACCTAGAATTGAATTGATATTAAATCGTAAGGGAGTTGTTCGCTACACTTTATATGATTTTCATAAATCATATGAATTTTCAAAATATATTTTTTTCTTTCATATGGATTATAGATGATACGCACGCTTAATCCAAAAAGACGTTGTTTGTTTATTCAGAATGATATTATTGAGAAAGAAAATAATTTGTTTGGCTAATACAATTCGGACGTGGCTTTAATCCAACAATATGTTGTTTGTTTAATTGAAATGACATTTCTCAGAAATAAAATAATTTGTCCGAATGTTATTCTCTAAGTGTCATTTTTATTGCGTGAGAGTTTTATAAAACATTCTAGTTAAGATCATATAACATATTTTTTTAAACCCTCTCAAAAGAATTTTTCTTTTTATTTAGAAATTACATTTGGTAATACATTTTAATTGCATTTTGACATCATAAACATCATAATCGTCTTAAATTATAGGTAATATACGTCTTTATCTTTTATCATTGAATAACAATCTGGTTGTTTTAAATCATGGAAGTCGCTAGGATAATATCATCTACAACTTTATAAAATGCCTCGAGACTTTAACTTTCAGATGTTAGGAATGATTGCTTGAATTCTCCTTGTTTTCAATGATTGTAGGTATAGTGCATTCCAATGTCATTAACCAAACTAATGCACTAGAGGATGGTGGGCCAGAAGATTTCTAACTTGGTGGTGTGTACTTTATGTTAGAAAAGAATTTACCACTAAACATGAGTTTATGTTACATGATCATATGCTTAAACGAGTTTGTGTGAAATCTACCAAACTAGGTTTTGGAATAGTAATCAGGAGGTCTGGTTTTGGTTATGATAGAAGACAAATATTTGCTACAATAAGATACGAAAGAAGTGGTATATATAAAGAAACTATCTGAAAGTTAAAACTTGATGACACATGAATAAAGAAATGTAGATGTCATTTTAAGTTGCATGAGTACCACACGACAAAAAATGTTTGGATATTTAATATAATTTGCAGTGTTTATAACTATGAATTGGATTGTAAGTTAGCTGGTCATCCGATTGTCAATCGTTTAGATTCTTAAGAGAAGAAAATTGTTCTTGAGATGATAATTAACATGGTTCAACACAAAAGCATGCTCACAACTTTGAAACAGAAAATACCTGAAAGTGTCTATCAAGCAAGTTAATGTTTAACACATAAATAACAAGGTGATTAGTGGTCCAAGAACTGAAATGCAATAGTTGTTGAAATTGTGGGATGAGCAACAACATATTTCTAGGTATAGATTGTTTGAGGATGAAATAAATGTTTGAGATATATTTTCTATGCATCTCAAATTCATTAAGTTGTTTAACACATTGATTATTGTATTGATAATTGATCCAACATGTAAGATCAATAAATACACATTTCTTCTTAATCAAGATCATATAACATATACCATAAACCCTCTAAAAAATCCCCCTTCTTATTCAAAAATTGTGTTTGGTAACACAATTCAACTACATTTAGACATCATAATCATCTTAAATTACAAGTAATGCACGTATTTATTTCTTATCATTGAATAAAAATCTAGTTTTTCTTTATCCATTATAGAAGTCGTCTTAATAGTATCATTTGTAACATTGTAAAATGCCTTCAAATTTTAACTTTTATACATTGGGAATGGTTGCTTGAAAACTAGAGTAAAAATTCATGATAGCAATCAAGAGGATGAGTCTATTAATAATAAAGATGATGATCTTTTTAAAAGGTTTGAAAAGTTCTTAAGAAAATAAAAGAAAAAGGAGATCATTCAGAAAGAAACATTATTAAGGAAGGTTACATGTTTTTAATGTGGAGAAAAGGAACATATAAAAAATGAATGCCCTACACATCAAAAGAAGAATAAATTCAAGAACAAGAAGAAGAAAAGGCCAAAGAAAGCATATGTAGCATGGAATTACAATGAAATAAGTTCATCTTCAAGATCATGCAAACAAAGTATTGATGGCATCATACCATTCAAGTGATGAAGAACATGAGGTTAGTGATTCTGAAATTGATGATAGTCTTTTATATGATGAATTACAAAATACTTTTCATGAATTACATGGAGAATTTTTGAAACTTTCTAGACAATGTTTAAAACAAAATAAAATTATTTTAAATCTAGAAAGTATGTCTAATGACACAAAAGTGAAATTAGAAAAAATACAAAATTCTACATGCAATAAGTGTCAAGATCTTGAAACAAAAATTGTTGAACTAAACCAAGTGATCAAGAAAAATGAAAAATGTCAAATTAATTTAGAAAATATGTTGTGTAGACAAAGATATTCAAGTAATAAATATGGAATTGGATTTTTTAATTTTAATAAACATAGTACAAGTCAAACTATCTTTGTAAAGACTACTAACAAATTCAATAATAAGAAATAAAAAAAAACATGTTGTAAATCATCATAAAATGCCTTATGATAGAAATCACCATGCTTATAAATTTTAAGCTTATAAAAATCATCATGTTCATAAGCCTACTTGTTTTTATTGTAACACAAAGGTCATACTCCTAAGACTTGCTATATAAGAAACTATGATGTTCCTTATGGTAAGTATGTATTAGTAAAGAAAGAAACTAACCCAAGAGGACTCAAAGAATATTGGGTACCTAAGCACTATTAATTGTTTTGTAGGTAATTAAATATCATATATGCTAGTATTGTCAATTAAAGATTGATTCTTCAAGATACAAGACCATATGATGTGGTGGTTCTAAAAGTTTTATTGATTGAAAGATGTTTGAAAAAACATCAACTTTGATATCAAATTTGACTTCATATGCTAGTATTGTGAAGAAGATAAGTATATTTATATCTAATGTATCATTTCTCTTACATTATTATACTCTTTTAAATTTTACTCCTTTTCTTTTTGATAATATCAAAAAGGGGGAGAAGAGGTGGTTATTTTTGTTGTTTTCAGAATACTAAAGACAAAGACACAAATTGCAATATAAATGGGGAGATATGCAATATAAGGGGATATATACAAGATAGATGGAGCAATCAAGTGTCAAGCATAAACTTCCCATTCAAATATTTTATCATCATAAAAAATAGGGAGATTGTGAAGAAGATTTGTTTATCATTCTTAGCTTGGTTTTGATGAAGACAAAAGACTATCTTAGACAATTCATTGAAAAAGAAAAAGATTGATTAATGTATCAAGTTTGTGGAAAGTTTTGGAATAAAATTGGATCATATACCAAGGTACAACATTAAAATTAGTTGTTATAAGTTTCATGTACTTAAGAAGAAATCATAAACTTTTAAGCTTGTGTTGATTTAAAATTCATCTTTTAACATAGCAAAAAAATTCATTTTTCTGAAGCAGCAATCAATTGATTCAAACTTTTAATCAATTGTCATGCCAAAACATCAAATTATTTAAAAAGAGAGGTGACAGTCAATTGTAAGGGATGAGCAATTGATTGTAAGTGATGTGCAATTGATTGTCATAGTGCAATTTTTTATATTTTTGAAAGTTATAATTAAGACAATCAATTGTAAGGATTGTGCAATCAATTGTCACTGATGAAACTTTGAAAAATCCTGAATGATCATAATATCTTTTCATGGCATTTTTTCATGAAATATTTTCTTGAATCATTGCATAATTATTTTGATTATTTTCAAACATTGTCATGATTTCCAAAGGGTTTCTTAGTGACTATAAAATGCAAAAAAATTCATATTGTATGACACCTTCATGAATATTTTTACTAATTTTCAAGTGTCTGTAACATTTTAACAGAATACTTTTTCCTGCATAATTTTCATTTAATGTGAAATATTTTAGAGAAACACTTGAGAACTTAAATTTTTATATCATATTGATTTATTTATTAGAGGAGAATATTTAATTTTCATATCTCAGAAAAGCAGCAAAACCTCAAAGTTGATCAAGGTTGATGCAAAGTCTGTCTACAATATTTTTCATACAAGGTATTGTATTTTCACCAAGTGTGTGTTGATTTTTATGTGTAATAAAGTTGTTGTACTTATTACAAGCATTTGCAAATAGGGAGGCTGTCTTTCTATTTATTGGAAAACATGCTTTGAATAGGGGTGATTCAAAGTCCGCCATAGTTGTTTGGTGTTTATAAAATCATAGAAGTTATGTGCTTCTTTGTTGTTGTTAGAAGATTGTAGGAGAAGTCTTGGTGTGAGGCTTGTACAAAGATATGAAAATAGTGGAAATCTATCACGGGGTGTGAGGGGACTAGATCTAGATGTACCATTGGTTGATAAGGGGACTTGTATATATCCTTGTGTCAATTTTCTGTTTCAATTTATTTTTCCAGCAATATCGTTCATTCATTCATCATATTTTCCAGAAAAATAAAAGGAACCATAATGTCTCATTAAAGTGTGATGTCTTCAGTCCATTTCGGAACACCCCCACGAACATTTTATGGTTCATAGGGACGACCTTGATGGTAGCTTCACTGAAGCGGGAAAGTTAGCCCCTCGGTGATTCTGACAGACCCTTGTGAATGTTAAACGAGTTGGTGGTTGATATCTTCTTGTGGCGACTGGAGAAGAACTTGTCTACAAGCTTCCTTATAACCTCTTGATAGATGCTAATAGAGGCACGGGGAAGA